TCCTCAAGGTCGTGCTAGAATCTCCTTGAGGGGCGAGAGGCGTCGAGTCAAAGATGCTCGACTCGGATTGGCTGGCATTCTGACCAATCAGGACATGCCTTCATACACATGACATCCGTCCAAATGATGTGCTGTTCGGTTATTAGGGACGGCTGGTCTCCGGACAACTTGATTCGTATTTGTCTTAATTTCAACCTCTTGAAAGATGTCACCCAAAGGCTTGACTCATCGAGGTATAAAACCACATTCTTTGACATGCGAGGCCCTTTAAAATACGCAGGAGAAATGTGGTTTAAAATGACTCCGTTCCAAGTTGTTGAAACATTCATGGACCAATGCGTTGGTAAACTCATTTTAGATACCATCGTCTGCTGAAGAAGTTATGCAGTAGTTGAGGGCATTATTTGTCTAATTCATCTTGAAGTATGCAAGCCTGTAGATTATCATACACCTCAATTTCAGAATACTTCAAAGAACCATAAAATCAGTTCATTTTCAGGCCTTAGTTGAGCTCTAAACCGTTCCTCAGTTTGCCAACTAGTTGACAGGACTGTCCTAGAGAAAATTCCAAAAATTGGAAAACCCACACCGTGTCACTTTTTGAAACTGTTGAAGGTGAACAACACGACGAAGCTGTAATCCAAGACGAGAATATGGATCCCAAAACTGAGTCTCACAAATCTTCCGGCCCCAATTTCAGGATTCTGTTTGCAAACAAAAATGGTGATATTGCAATAAGGAGTCACTGGGGACTAAACATCATCACTGATGAACGAACGTGAGAAACTATACTCCTGATTACCCAATAGCAATGCTCCTGTACAAGAGATCTTCGGATACTGGTGTGCATACAGTGGGCAAGAAGGAACCAGATTATCACCTGATATCTCACTTTCCATCAATCAGTTTCACTCACTTCAGACTCTGTAATCACCAGAAGCACCAACAGTGTTATTTCTGGATCCTCTTAGGGGAAAACTGCCTGGTCTTACGTCTAGCTTGGCAAAAATGAGTTTTATCTGTAAAGTCAGACAGAATGACCTCCGGGATACACGCACTAATAAACGGACTTGACCGCTTAGTTGGTAAACGCCTCCTTGAAGGTGACGGACCAAAAGCGAAAATTACAATGCCAAAGAAGTACTCATACAATGACGCTCTGTCCATGGGTCACTATATATCTGGCCTACTCAAAGAGAATTTCGACCTTGTCCTGACCCGAAATTACAGTGTGACAGACATACGGACGAACTTCACGAGTCGCGCAGGTCGAACTGCGGTGAGTCGCCCCCAGTTGAAGCGATGCACCCGACAGGGAATTGAAACACTAAGAAAGTAGGACAGAAATATTTTCATCTGACTCAAACTCGACTCGCATTAAATCCAAACACTCAACTGAGACGGAATAGAGCTGAGCTATACTCAACATATACTGCAGTTCCCTCCAGCAAAAGTGAGTAATCATCAGTTGAGCTTTAAAAGACGACAGTGATTGTCCGGGACTCTGTTCGTTGTGGTATTGATTTGTCACTTGGTTCTGGGCCAATATATACGGTGTGAAATGCGCCGTAGCTCATCACATCCTGTTCGGCCTTACATGTTTTTCAGGCGATAAGAGTGTGCAAAATGAATGAACCTCTCACAAGTGTTGTTCACAAGGTATTATTTAGGTTGATTACAACGTCTGTTCATCCAGATGAACACAATAACACGAACCTAAAATAGTTATCGATCAAGCTGTTTTGTTTTCAGTTCAATGGAATGAACAAAGATCACATTGTTCCTAACGGAGAATCAGAGAGAACAAGAGTCTGAAAAGTGCTTTAAATTGAAATAGTGTTTGTTTATTCCTGACAGAACGCGCTACTACCAAGGTTACTGAAGTCAACAACCCACGACCAGTTTCGCCCTTCTTGTGATGTCTCAGGTATCGTATCAACTGAAAGTCAGTAGGTCTGGTGCAGCCCATTCAGCTGAAGTTGATCATTCCTTAACAAAGAGAGTATCTGCTGAAATTCAGTTGAGTCTCCTAAGAAAAACAAATTTTGGTGTAGATAGGAATGTTTATCGATTTCTGTTCAATTTGGGCTCAAGTAGAACATAAACTTACGGGAAACTCGGGTACTGCGCCCATATGATGGACCTTGTTGGGCTGTCTAACAAACATGCGATATCTGAAACGTCGTACGAAATAAAACTTGAGGCGATATTGTCAGCTGAAAGATGGCACATCATCGAGTGAAAACGAATTTAATTCGCAACTAAATGTGTTTTGTGAGATTTGCGTTCAAGTAGAAGATGAGGCAGACAAGAATTTGGAGAATGCACCTTCCTGACGAATCCGAAATGGAAGGGCAAAACCGGTCGTAGGTAGTTTCCCAGCAAGGGAAAACACAAGGAACTTTATTGCGCCTCCAGCTCCAGCAAGTTCTCCATCCACGGATTAGAAGCTCGATAAGGTGCCTGCGTAGCCCACGGGACGATTGTCACATCTTCCAGGGACTACGGTGCTACTGATTGGAGGGCATGCAAGTAGTATGTTTTCTCATAAATCCGCCTTGCGTCTCTTGAAAAGTGAGATCTATTACGAAATTTGTGGAGTCACTTTGTAGAGTTTGCTTGGATTTGGGCAACAGTCAGTGAATATCCAGAAAAGTTCAGGAAGACGCGTTCAAGAAGAAGATGGATATTCAGTTTTTTTTTTAACAAGATGCACATGAAAGGTTTGCTTCCCTGTCCAATAGTTTGCAATTGTTCAGTAGGCACTTTCTAACAAATAACTTCGCAGCCAAGGCCTTCTTCCTTTCATTTTACCTGATGAGCTCCAGACGAAGCGAAGCTGTTAGTAGACTGTCTCCGGATTTTGAGCAATCGTCCCATAAGAATCAGTCAAAAGCAGAATACGTTACAGCGAATATTCTTGCAACCACAGTGTAGCCTGTCTGCCACACACTATACGAAAGAAGAGACTCCATCGCGTCTCCATCTGAGGTAGTTTACTCAAGCATATGTTTTTTAAAGAGGAAGACTCTCTGTTGATACCTTGAATACCGTTTCGACTGTGACACAAGGTGGCCTTTGTGCCCGTCGAACAATATCATAGGCAAGAGGTTCAGCTGGGGTTCAGCTGAGTCTCCTGTTAAACTCAAACTGTTGTGCAAATGAGTGTAATTCGCCAATTGGCCCAAATCCGGTCCATTAATAAAATCGGGCTGATAAG